TTTCATGGTCAGATCATATTCAATTGAGGAACTGCGATTGGTGAAGTGAACACGGTCTGGAGTATAACAAGGAAGACACATATCTGACGATACACAGCAAAAAAATAATTTTGATATCACGTCAAAGTGGATGCACTACAATTATGTCGAAAATATGGTGTAATATTACTTGCTAAAAAGGACAAAATTATCATTAATACAATGCATGAACTGACATTACGCTGCTTTTACTGCATTTGTTTATTTATGTGGTCATAAAAATTACATGAAATTTTCGACATGATTGTAGTGCATCCACTTTGATGTGATATCAAAATTATTTTTTTGCTGTGTATGTAGTGGTGGTAGATTCTCATAAATCGAGATTGTGTGTTCAGCCCAAGAATTTCTTCAAAATTTGCAATTATAAATGTGTTCGTCACTCCGCATTTGATTAGTATTCTGAGAGAGAGCTCCCAGAAACGGTTCTGGAGGGGTGTTACTCCTGCCAGAACCTCGAGACTCATGTTATGCGTTGAGTGCATACAGCCTAGAGCAATACGCAGACAACGATATTGAGTTCGTTCCAATTTTATTAGGTGACTTTTTCTTGCCGAGAGAAAGCAGAAAGAGCCGTACTCTAGAACAGAGAGAATAGTTGTTTTATAAAGCGTTATGAGGTCTCCCGGATGAGCACCCCACCATGTGCCGCAAATTGAACGGAGAAAGTTGATCCTCTGCTGACATTTTTGCTTCAAGTACGTAATATGAGCATTCCAAGTGCACTTTGAATCAAACCAGACCCCAAGGTACTTGAAAGACAATGATTGGGTAATGTTTCTGCCCAAAAGATTAAGCTGCATTTGGGCTGGGTACCGCTTTCGAGTAAACACTACCAGTTCAGTTTTCTGCGGCGAGAATTCGATCCCTAGATTCATAGCCCAAGAAGACAAGTTATCTAAGGAATTTTGCAATGGTCCTTGCAAGTCCACGGCATGTGGACCTCTTACGGAAACCACACCGTCATCTGCAAGTTGTCTTAGCGTGCATTGTTCTGCCAAACAGTTGTCGATATCTTTGACGTAAAAGTTATAAAGAAGAGGGCTGAGGCATGAGCCTTGGGGCAGGCCCATGTAGCTAATTCTGGAAGTTGTCAGTTGTCCAAGGGAAAAGTTCATTTGCTTTTCTGACAACAAATTGTACAAGAAATTATTTAAAATTTCAGAAAGTCCACATCTGTGCAGATTGTCTGACAGAATTTCAATGGAAACTGAATCAAAAGCCCCCTTAATGTCCAAGAATACTGAAGCCAATTGCTCCTTGTGTGCAAAGGCCAGTTGAATATCTGTGGAAAGCAGCGCTAGACAATCGTTTGTTCCTTTGCTCTTGCGGAACCCAAACTGTGTATTTGATAGCAAGTTATTTGCTTCGACCCACTGATCGAGTCTCCGAAGGATCATTTTCTCCAACAATTTCCTAATGCACGAAAGCATAGCAATCGGACGGTATGAGTTATGGTCAGACGCTGGTTTGCCAGGTTTTTTAATGGCTATTACTTTGACCTGTCTCCATTCAGGCGGTACAATGTTGTTTTCTAGCAAGGAATTGAATAAATCTAGCAAGCGTCTTTTAGCGATATCTGGGAGATTTTTCAGAAGATTGAATTTAATCATATCGCTTCCCGGTGAGGAGTTGTTCGATGAAAGAAGAGCCATAGAGAAATCCAGCATTGAGAATGGTCTATCCAGAGAGCCGCCGCTAGGAGACGCTTCTCGAAGAATATTTTGTGCTGGAACTGAGTCCGGACAGACCTTTTTAGCGAAATCGAATATCCATCGGTTGGAGTATTCTTCACTCTCATTGAAAGATGAGCGGTTACGCATGTTGCGAGCCACCCTCCACAAGGTGTTCATTGAGGTTTCTCGTGAGAGTCCCTCGACGAAATTGCGCCAATAACCGCGTTTTTTTGCTTTGATTAATTGTTTCAGCTTTGTCTCAAGCTTTGAATATTCCTCGAAGTAAGTGGAGGTTTTGTGTCTACGAAAAGCTTTGAAAGCATCAGATTTTTCTATATACAATTTTGTGCATTCTTCGTCCCAACCAGGTGTGGCTGGTCTCCTTTTAAAGGGTGCACTTGGAACTTTTCTTTTTTGTGCTTCCAGTGAGCTTTTGTAAATCAAATCGGCTAGGAATCGATATTCTTCCAATGGTGGAAGCGCATCTATTGATTCGACACCGATTGTCACCGCCGTTGCATATTTCTGCCAGTCGATGTTCCTTGTAAGATCAAATTTTACTTTTCTTATATTCGGAAAAAAAAAATTTACTGGAAAAACAGAGGGAAATTAACTCAAAACTGAGTTCCTGTACTTTTTGCGATTTATGAGTGAACTAAACTCAAATTTGGGTGTTCTCATTCGCCGTGTAGTGCTGACTCAGGAAAAAACAAACTTTGCATGCGGCGAGGGACCGAAGGACAACAATTTACATCGTGATGAAGTTTGATTCTAATGTAACGTTAGGTTCTGTTGTCATTGGATGTATTCTGATGTCAAATTTTACATCGTCAAGACGTTTGATTCTGATGTAACGTTTGAGGCTAATGTATTTTTATGTACTTGGATGTCACACTGAAGTCTGAATACATTAAGGGTACAGCAATACACATTAAAATTTAATGTATTGAAGATGTCTGCTGATGTTTCCTACATTACAATTTCTATTCGGGGCTGTATCTGCAGCTTCTTTTCAGCTACTTTACAGCACAATGCTGGAAAAGTTGGCTTACAAAGCTGAAAATGTTAGTTGGGTAACCACTAAGGCACTTTTCTAATTTTCCATTTTTCTCAACAAAAATATTCCTGAACAACACCAGGATCTTTGCCAAAACGTTACAGAATTAAATTTTTCAACTGTAGATCAAGTTTTGGAGCATCTCTGATAAATTAATTAATCAGGAAAAGTAAAAAAGTGTTCCGTTTCCTGTCCCACGGTAGTAATTTCTGCTCACAACACTTTTTTTAACGTTTTCCTATTCATTAACAGAGGTTGAACGGATCGTTTAGTTTCTATTGGCAAATCAAAGTTGGCACTCGCGGAGAATAGAAGAACTATGAAAGTGATGATGGTTTCAAAATTTTCCACGGGGAAGCATACGAGTGCAATCTTAAAATGCGTTTATTTTGAAAATAGAGCATTTTATTTAAATCTGGTTGCTGCTACAGTGGTAGAAAAGCTGAAGTCTATGTGTACATCTAAAAATCTGAAAAGAAATTATGTTTTCTGTATTATATGTCTATTGAGTAGTCCTTAAGTTTTCTACTAACGTAGCACTAACCAGATTTAAATAACATGCTCCATTCACAAAATAAAAGCATTTTAAGATTGAACTCGTATACCTCACCGTGCAAAATTTTGAAATCATCATCACTTTCATAGTTCTTCTATTCTCCACGAGTGCCAACTTTGATTTGCCAATTAAAAAGGCGTATACAGATCAGTTCATTGAACACTGATTGGGTATTTTCCAATGATTAATCAAATTGAAACACTGATCTTCGTTTCTTTCACAAATTTATTTCAATAGTTGCTCTATGTGTCCTCCATTTTCTTGGATGCAGTACCTGAACCTCCTTCCGGTCTCTTCCACAAGGTCAAGTAGTGATCCAATTTTAAATCGTTTGTTTCCACCGGTTGCTATTATTACACATTGAATCCAGTTTTGGCTAAATTTAGTCGAATTTAACTCAATTTTGAGCAATCACATCGTCCGTGTGTATTACGACTAAATTTTGAGTAATCACATCGGCCGTGAATTTTAGCCACCTAGCGGATGATAGCGCACTCCTAATCGCAGCGTTTCGCCTCTCCACCGTCAGAGAGTGCATGCTTGCTGTCACTCTTCATTAACGCATTGCCAATGAAATCAACCCAAATTTTAGTTCAGTTGACTCATGATCGCAAAAAAGTGCAAGAACTCAGCCATGAGTAAATTTTCCCCGTGTTTCCTGCCGGAAAATGAGGACAATTTATGAAAATTTTACTCAGTCTAGGAGCAGTACCAACAGACTGAGAGAATTCAACCTTTACTTTTCTCATGTTCCGGAAGTTTTTCCTGGAAAAACCTGGAAAAACGTGAGGCAAATTTACTCATCGCTTCCTGCACTTTTTGCGATTTATGAACAAACTGAATTCAAACCAATAAATTATTCATTTTTGATCATTTTCAGAAAAATGTCGGTTACTTGTAATAAATTTCAATACTTTTTTTTGCCAATATTGGTTGTACAAGCAACCGACATTTTTCTGGAAATGATTAAGGCTGTGTTCCATTGTTCACTTAAATTTCACAGATGGAACCTTTTCAAATAAACAGACTTATTTCTGGCGGACCAGGAATCAATTTTGACAAACACCTTCTCGAAAATCGGACGATCAACAATGGAGGGATTTTCTAACATTATAATATATTTTGTTTTTTAGTGAAAATTCACCAAATGGAACACAGCCTAAATAAGAAGCATGAATGATTGGTTTTCGTTTTCTGTGAGTAAAATTTCCCGATCTTTTCCAGGGAAAACTTCTCGGATATGAGGCAATTCGACGAAAATTTAACTCAGTCTAGAAGTATATTAATAGACTGAGTGAAACCTCGATCGATTTTCCCAACAGTCGAAAAGCTTTTCCTGGAAAATCGAGGAACATTTTGCTCAGTCTATGAGTAACCTATACATTTTTGCGAATTTGAGTGAACGAAATTCAAATTGGAGGAGATTTAATCGACCGTGAAAAGAGACAGCACTTTTTTTTTAGCTATTTCCCTTTAAACTGACAGCACAACAAGCGAAGATCATCATTATTATCGTCGATCCGTCGGTCGTTCATTTCTCAATGTTCTTCCCGTGCCAGCAGCAGCAGTGAGACGGTTGTTGCATTATTTTTCATTCATCAGCAGCCAGAGCCAGCAGCAGGCGCGTGCGTTCATTCGAGATTCAGTTTTCTGCCAGCCGTCGTGAAGTTTGGACGCGTGAAAAGCCGTTCGTCCGCCGTTTTTCGGAATTCTTAGTGTGTTCTTAGTAGCTTGCACTTAGTGGAAGTGAGTAGTGAGCAATCAGCCGTTGGTTTTTGGTTACTAGTAGTAGGTGGGTGGCTCATTGTGGGGGTGCGGTTTTAGCAGGTTCTACCCCCTCAACAACTTACACTCCGGCGGTGTGGGGGATGGAGCGCAACTAGTTTTCCTCAGTTGATTTGCCTTATTTAGTAATAATTAGCGAATGGGTGCTAAACCGAAGATGAGTGAAGATCGGTGAAGTGGTTTAGACAGAGCCGAGCGAACAGATCGTTGATTGTGGTGTAAATTGATGTAACTGATCGATTAATCGTCGCTCTGAGTGGCCTGCAGCAGCCGTTCTGCTGTGGGTGTTTTCTGGGGAGGAAAATTTTCACGATTTTCCACTGGCGACGAGCGAAGATCAAGTGAGAAGCAGGCCGTGAAAAGTGCAAAACTCCCATCGTTCGCCGCCTGCTTCGCTACCTTTTAGTGGTGTGGTGAGAAAATGATGTTCTATTAATAAAGGCGGCGGCGGTTGTTGGCGGTGATGAAGACGAAGACGGTGTGCTGATACTGCTGTTACAGCTTTCGTTTGTGGTGTGCAATATGAAGAAAATGGGAAAACATGTGTGCGCTGTGCACGGCGATCGGATCAGGGAGGATGTCGATTTTCCGTTACACTTGGCGCGCGTCGCGACGCATATAGGTGAAAAGTGTGTGCGAGGGAAGGGATGCTGGTTGCGACGTCCCACGTGCGTTTCATCACACAGAGAAACGGTTCAAGGCGCGTCGTCGTCGGTGTGACTCTTTCTGTGACTAATCCTCCAACGCACGGCACGGCACGGCGGAGCATAGTCCTCGGAGAGCTGCTAGATATGCCTACTAGAGCGAGCGTTTGTTCTGCTGCGAGTGCGATTGTATTGGCAGCGCGGAGTTGGCTGTGATCTGTGTGATTTTCGGTGTTTATTTCGTGAGCTGCTTTGATTGCGTGCGATTGGCGAAGGTGGACGAGGAGGCGTTCATTGAGAAGGATTATGTAATTTTTATTTAATATTTTTTTATGTGGAAAAGGAAGTGACCAGTGATGCCATTGCTACCGACTTTTGTATGCGAAGCACCACCCCATAAAAAAGAATTGGAATTCCTTTCAAATTAGCCCAATTTTTAAATCGAAAATCTCCACAAAAGGAAACTCATGGAACTCATTTTACAATAATGTTGATAATCTGATTAATTATCACCAGGAATGCCAGATTTAAAGACATGTTTTCACTTTGAAGACATTTGGAATTCAGTGAAGACTTTTATTTTCCGCAGACATTTTGAAGATATTTCATGTTTTGTGAAAACTTTTGAAGCCATATGCAGACCCTTGGAGATTGAAATCTCAGATCTCACAAATTCCCAGTGCCCTAGAATTTTGAAAATTTGTTTCAGTTCAGCATTTTCAAAATTATCAAAGTATAAGAACCCTAAAATGCTAAGAAGTCTAAGACATTTGATTTTTTTAAATTAGCAATGTTAAAAGTCTAGCATTTATAATATTTCTGTTAATCATCCATATTCGGGAGATTTATTCACAGGATTTCGTTGGGATTTGCTAAAGATTTTTGTTTATATAATCAAATACATTCAACTCATATAATTTTCTTAAAAAAAAAACACTTGAAATTCGCTCTGAATTCACATCGAATTTCTAATAATTGTAGCATGATTACCTTAAAATCCTTCTGATCCTTTTGGAATTATCTGCAGCATTAGTATTCCTCCAGAACTTCGATGGAATTATTCCTTGAATTACTTTTGATTCCTCAAAATATGCCACTGAATTCTCATGGAATTCCGCTTTTAGTTTCCATAAAATTTTCACAGCAATTGCATTGGAATACTCCATGGAATTACCTTCAGGCTCTCCTAAGAATTCCCCTGGAAATCTCATCTGAATTCTTTTGGAATACACCTTAAATTTAATTTAGATTTATCCTCAGAACTTCCATTGAATTCTTCTCATCATTCTCCTGAAATTATAGCCAGTTCTGCCTTGGAATTCTCTTAAGCATTCTTTTAAAATTCTTCTTAAATTCAGCTATAACTCTCCTCACAATCCTAATCGAATATTCCTTGGCATTCATTAAGTGTTTTCCTCTTCTCTGGTGGAATCATGCTTCGATTTCGTTTTGAATTTCTCATCAGAATTACCTTGGCTTAGTAATTATGCTTAATTATTCATTTGCATTTTCTTCTCACCTTGGAATTCTCCTTAGAATTAAATTGAAGCTCTTCTCGATGGAATTATCCTCAAAACTGCCCTTAATTACCTTCGAAGCATTCCATAGATTTCGCTTGAAGTTCTTCTTAATTCTAGAATAGAATTCCAGTCGAAATACATCTCAAGACCAACAATTGAAATGGCGCCAACTCCATTTTGTAAACAAACATTGTAAGACCATTTTCTAGCCAACCAAAGTCCGCCAACACAAACCAACAAAATGAACAGGTAGGGGAAATTCTCCCCTACCCGATTGTGTGCTAGGTTTGCGAATGTAGGATTCGGTTCGTGAGAAAATGGCCTTATAACGTTTGTTTACAAAATGGAGTTGAGGCCTTTTCAATTGTTAGTCTTGATCTCTTCGAATGCTCCATAGAATTCCCTTTAAGTTAATTCTTCAGAAATTTTCAAGATAATGCCACGAAATTCCAGAATCATGAATATTTTCTTCAAGCCCATGAGTCTTGAACATTTTCTAAGATCCATTGAAATGATATTTGTTATCAAATCAGGGATCTTTGAAAAATTTCACGGTCCGACATCTGAATCTTCGATCTAGAATCTTGAAAATTTCTTCAAGCTTGGATTGTTCTTTTTGCAAGGTCCAGGAATTGAAAATTTTTGACATCCCTATAAAATTGTCTTGTTTTAGAATCTGAGAAATCTGACTCATGATTTGAATTTTTTTTAAATCTCACAATCTTGAAAGTTCTTCAATTAATTAAATCTTAAAAATGTGTCTCAGACCTTAAAATAATTCCATTTCAAAATGTCTAAGGCGATTTCAAACTTGTTCCTTCTTTTTTTTTAAATTCATGTTTATGACCCATGTTTATCCCAGTAGCGTTATCATAAATTCTAGTAGTTACCTAAAATTATAAAATATTTCAAGATTCTTGAACTTACGAAATCTTTTATAAATTCTGAAAATTTATCAAGTTACTGTATAGGGGTAGCATTCTCCCATTCCACTCTTTTATGATGTTATGCAGGGCTGTCATCTGATCACTCAATGCACGCAATGTACTGATTTTCTGAAATCCACAAAGTGAGAACCAACCAAACACAAAGTTTGCTAGCCTTTCACCCTGTGTAAGCGTAACGCAGCGCAGAAGAGAAGAAATACACACACACCCAGGAATATCGAAAACGCAAAGTGTAACCACCGCTCCGACCACTCCGATACAAAGAGCACCACTTAGTGTAGAGTTGCAATTGGGAAACCCAGCAAAAAGACAACATTCTTCTTCGCTATGCACTTCTTCGTCTCCTATACATGCCATCGTGGTAAGCTCGGAGTGTACCGCTAACTATTTGGGAATGGTTTCTCGAAGATAAGTTGAAAAACAGTGTGCGAAGCAAATGGGAGAATCGCACTCTCTGTGCCGAGTGTTGTACGATGCATGAACAAAGTTGCTATGCAAACGCTCTGCGGTGCTTTCCAGCCCTGATTTCATGATTTTGAGCAATGACACTCACGCTACAGACCTTGAACAGCGGATAAATCTGATGCTTGGCCAGCTCATCCCTGATCAGGCTGGCTTCCTTCGACGTGCTAAACGGCGGGAGAAACTTTTCCCGTTTCTCAATAACGTATCCTTCACTATGGCGCTATGACGAATCGTAAAAACTCGACCTTCTCCGACTTAAAACTGTGCTTCATTGGTTGTTATGGGCACTGATTCTCATTTACGCTCAAATTTGGCCAATTTAGAGCTTGTGAAATGTCAAAATGGCCTCTTCGAAATGTTTCAAAAAATTGTAGCACGGAAACAACTCTTCTGATCGCAACGACGTCTCAGACAAAGTTGTGCATAATTTTAACCAATCCAATTAAAAATAACCTGTAAAGGCATTTGGGAATATTTAGAATTAAACATATTTTTGTTATTTTTACTTAAAATTACTAATATTTGTTTTCCTCTACAACTTTGTCTCAAAAGTCATTTCGATCAGAAAAGCCGTTTCCGTGCCACAATTTTTTTTTTTAAATCAAAGATGCCCTTTTGAAAATTATACGATCTCCAAAATGGCCAAATGGTCCATAACAAACAATCATGCAAAGTTTCATGCAAATCGGAGAAGATCGGGCTTTTCCGGTTCTTAATTTGCCGTGGAACTGCTTTATTGGTTAAAGCCCTCTAGTATATACATGATCGTCCAAAAAAAGCTGTTCCAATCAGTCAGGGGTGCCAGATTTGAGGATATGGCTTCATTTTGAAGACATTTGAAATTCGGTGAAGATGTTTGACGACAGCTTTTAAATCTACCAAGCTCGCAGAACATCTACACGGCGAATGAGAACAACCCAAGTTTGAGTTTAGTTCACTCATAATCGCCAAAAGTGCAGGAACTCAGCGATGAGTAAAATTTGTATCATGGTTTCCTGTGGAAACGCCGTGTATAAACTTCACCAAACTTCCTGAAAAACCCTCACATTTTCTATCCTACTAGGAAGTTTCCTGATATTAAACAATGTTCAAAGGACGTCCAGGGAGTTCAAGAGTCGCTCAAATTTGAGCAAATCAGTGCCAACATTTCAAAGGGGCGTAATTGCTTTTGTAAACAATGACTTTAGCTGTGAATTTCTCGCGAATGAAATCTTACCTCTCCAAAATTACAATGCTAGCTTGTAGAGGAAACATTCATCTACCTGCTGGTGTCATTATTTTTCATGAGTGAGCTTTTATTCGCGAGAAATCGACGGCTAAAGCCATTGTTTACAAATAAAATTACGCCCCTTTGAAATGTTGGCACTGAAATGTGAAATTTTTCTCGAATATGAGTGAGGTTTACTGAAAATGGAGCAGATTTTTACTAATTCTATGAATTGGTCTATGCCAGTAACCGTGGTATTAGCAAAACGGAGTTGACGAAGTTTGTGCTGAAAATTTTACTCAGTCTAGGAGTAGTACCAATAGACTGAGTGAATCCAATATTTACTTTTCTCATATTCGGGAAGTTTTTCCTGGACAAACCTGGAAAAACATGGGGCAAATTTACTTATCACTGAGTTCCTGCACGTTATGTGATTTTCGAGTCAACTAAACTCAAATTTGGGTCGTTCTCGTTCGCCGTGTAAACCAAAATCTCGCCGAAATCAATGTTTCATTTCAATCCCCCAGTATAGCTACTGTCCAATTGTGAAACATGACAAATTACACTTCGTCACTTTTCTCATATTCGGGAAGTTTTTCCTGGACAAACTATGAAAACCCTGGAAAAACATGAGGCAAATTTAATCATCTAGCACTTTATGTGATTTTCGAGTCAACTAAACTCAAATTTGGGTCGTTCTCATTCGCCGTGTAAACCAAAATCTCGCCGGAATCAATGTTTCATTTCAATCCCCCATAGTATAGCTACTGTCCAATTGTGAAACATGACAAATTACACTTCGTCAATTTGCGCAAAATCAAACGGCCAATCAAAGCATCCTACGATGATTAGAACATCATTTCACCGTTCAGGGTCGTCCGTCAGCCAGCAGTCATCGTGTGAGAGCAGATAAGCATCCTTTTGCTTTCTTCCTTCTTTCACTTTTCCTTATCGGGGTCGTCGTCGTCATAGAAGTTTTTAGCTATAGGTAGCTCAAGCCCTGATAAGAAGCCTCCGACGATCGTGGTACGCACGTTGCTCGTAAAACTCCCAACCCGCCACAGCTGATCCTCCTCGATCGGATAGAACAAGAACACTGAAAACCGAAAACCGAAAAAATGGGATGTGATTCACATTCTCCGATTTTGTTTCAGCGTGCGAGATAACAAGTGCGATGTTTCAGTTGGTGAGGTTGTAAATAATTTTTCAGGAAAGAAAAGCGCGCCGAAGTGGGGAAGTGGAATATTGTAGTTTTCCTGTAGGGAAGTATGAAAGAAACGGGCCAGCCGGAATCGAAGTGAGTGAGTAAGAAGCAGCGGAAGAAGAATGGCAGTAGTCATTGATAGGTTGTAGTGCGTGGTGTCAAAGTTCAAAAATCTCGCGATCTTGACGCGGCGCGTCAATATTTGTTAGTCGTCATCGCCGGCGCCGTGAGGTGCGAGAGCAACAACAACAACAGAAAAGGAGACAAAGATTAGTATTGAGGTATCGCAGCAGGCTGGAATTTCCGTGGTGGTCGCGCATCGATTCGATGAGAACGAAGAACGAGAATTCAAACCGCGACAGGCGGATTGAGCGCGAAAGAGACACAAAAATGGCAACGATAAACGACCCTGGACCCGCTGCTAGTGGTGGTGGTAGTAGTAGCAGCAGCAGCAGCAGCAACAGCATCAGTAGTAGCAGATGGAGCGAAGGCGGTAGTAAAGTCAGCAGAACCAATGCCAAATTGCACCTGTTCCTGTCGGTGGCGATAGCGTGGTTGGCCGCGTGCCTACTGTGCTCGCCAGTGCAGGGATTCAACGTGGACACCGTGAACTATGTCCTGCACGAGGGTACGGCCAATTCGATGTTCGGGTTCAGCGTCGTTTTGCACCAGGAACAGCAGCGAAGCTGGTGAGTTACTCCGTTTCCCTTTTCTAGCTTCTGTGGGTTGGGTTTGAAGTGGGTCAGTTTAGTGGTCGATAGAGCGTTCTTCACCAACTGCGTTAGCAAATGTTTTCAATGGGATTGTTTTCAAGCGAAAAAAAGTCGGAACGTGGAATATGGCTGATCTTAGTTACACACTTAATCTAGCTCGGTAAAATCTCCAACAGCCGATTACCTCGGCATTTACTTTTACTGATATCTCTGCAAAATATCTGTTTGTTAGCTGATATCTCAGCAAAATGTTATTTATTAGCTGAGTGTCGGCAATTGTTTTACTGAATCAAAGCAAATTGAATTGCAGAATCACTCGGCTGTTGGAATCTCGGCGAAAATTTTTAAGTGTGTAGAGTGCCTGTAAGTAGAATGACGTCATGTCCGGCATTTGACAGGTCTTGTGCCGATTACCAAGCCATTGACAGATAATCGACTGTTCCAATGGTCCCTTTGTCAAGCAGTTTTGTCGTAACTTTCTACCAGCAATTTCACAAATTACTATTTTTTTTATGAAACGCACAAATCTGGATCAACAATAGAAAAGGGCCCATCAGCATTTGTAAACAAACCGTTCTGAAGTCCTTTCCTCAGAAAACGAAGGCCGCCCACGCAAACCAATACCATCATTGAATAGGGGAAAGTTTCCCCTATACGATTGTGTTGGTGTGCGTGGGTGGCATTTGGTTTGTGAGGAAAGCACTTTATAACTATTTGTTTACAAATGCTGATGGGTCCTTTTCTATTGTTATTCCAGAAATGTTGGCTACTTTTTTCATGGTTCTAGAAGGAAAAATCACAAAATCTCGATTAATTTTTCGAAGGAACGTATCAACTTTTGTAAACAATGCATTTGATCGTCGAATTGGCGTAACTGTCTCTCCCACGCATACTAACACCACTATTAGGTAGGGGAAAATTTCCCCCAATTTTGCGTGTATTTCGAGCAGATTGCGGGTAAACTGAATAAATAAGCGTGTTTTCACTTGTTAAAAAGTTTGATAAAAGTGCACGGTGAACTTATTCTGTATGAAGCCAGACTAAGTGCTCGGAAGACAACAAATCGATTTGACGTAAACGTGCACTTTGATCGCATTTTTTAAGCAGTCCAGTTTTAATTGCAACCAATAATAATAAATTGTCACATCTTCGTGGCACACGGCTGTAGAATCCGACTCAAATTCGCTAAAACGCAGGTCACTCGTGGATTGATTACACATTTTCTTCATATTCGAAACAGTGCACATAGTTTCTGATGAATTCTCCGTGAAATTCTGCGAATTTTGAGGTGTCGCACGAATTGGTTCAATGAAAATTATAAATTGGCCACATTTACGATGCCACCGGATCCAGTTCCGAGGTCCATACAAAGTGCACGGGAACTTCTACAAAGTTCAAGGAACTTCTGTACAAAGTTCAAGGACCTTCTCTACAAAGTTCAGGGAACTTCTCTACAAAGTTCAGGGAACTTCTCTACAAAGCTCAGGGAACTTCTCTACAAAGCTCTGGGAACTTCTCTACAAAGCTCTGGGAACTTCTCTACAAAGCTCAGGGAACTTCTCTACAAAGTTCATGGAACTTTTCTACAAAGTTCAGGGAACTTCTCTACAAAGTTCAGGGATCTTCGTTACAATGTTCAGGGAACTTCTCTACAAAGTTCAGGGAACTTCTCTACAAAGCTCAGGGAACTTCTCTACAAAGTTCAGGGACCTTCTCTACAAAGTTCAGGGAAATTCTCTACAAAGTTCAGGGAACTTCTCTACAAAGCTCAGGGAATTTCTCTACAAAGCTTAGGGAACTTCTTTTCAAAGTTCAGGGAACTTCTCTACAAAGTTCAGGGAACATCTCTACAAAGTGCAGGAAACTTCTCTACAAAGTACAGGGAACTTCTCTATAAAGTTCAGGGAACTTCTCCACAAAGTTCAGGGAACTTCTCCACAAAGTTCAGCGACCTTCTCTACAAAATTCAGGGAATTTCTCTACAAAGCTCAGGGAACTTCTCTACAAAGCTCAGGGAACTTTTCTACAAAGCTCAGGGAACTTCTTTTCAAAGTTCAGGGAACATCTCTACAAAGTGCAGGGAACTTCTCTACAAAGTTCAGGGAACTCCTCTACAAAGTTCAGGGAACTTCTCTACAAAGTTCAGGGAACTTCTCTATAAAGTTCAGGGAACTTCTCCACAGTTCCGGGCATTTTTACAAAGTTCCGGGAACTTCTCCACAGTTCCGGGCATTTGTACAAAGTTCCGGGAACTTCTACAAAGTTCCGGAAACTTCTACAAAGTTCCGGAAACTTCTACAAAGTTCCGGGAACTTCTACAAAGTTCCGGGAACTTCTACAAAGTTCCGGGAACTTCTACAAAGTTCCGGGAACTTCTACAAAGTTCCGGGAACTTCTACAAAGTTCCGGGAACTTCTACAAAGTTCTGGGAACTTCTACAAAGTTCCGGGAACTTCTACAAAGTTCCGGGAACTTCTACAAAGTTCCGGGAACTTCTACAAAGTTCCGGGAACTTCTACAAAGTTCCGGGAACTTCTACAAAGTTCCGGGAACTTCTACAAAGTTCCGGGAACTTCTACAAAGTTCCGGGAACTTCTACAAAGTTCCGGGAACTTCTACAAAGTTCCGGGAACTTCTACAAAGTTCCGGGAACTTCTACAAAGTTCCGGGAACTTCTACAAAGTTCCGGGAACTTCTACAAAGTTCCGGGAACTTCTACAAAGTTCCGGGAACTTCTACAAAGTTCCGGGAACTTCTACAAAGTTCCGGGAACTTCTACAAAGTTCCGGGAACTTCTACAAAGTTCCGGGAACTTCTACAAAGTTCCGGGAACTTCTACAAAGTTCCGGGAACTTCTACAAAGTTCCGGGAACTTCTACAAAGTTCCGGGAACTTCTACAAAGTTCCGGGAACTTCTACAAAGTTCCGGGAACTTCTACAAAGTTCCGGGAACTTCTACAAAGTTCCGGGAACTTCTACAAAGTTCCGGGAACTTCTACAAAGTTCCGGGAACTTCTACAAAGTTCCGGGAACTTCTACAAAGTTCCGGGAACTTCTACAAAGTTCCGGGAACTTCTACAAAGTTCCGGGAACTTCTACAAAGTTCCGGGAACTTCTACAAAGTTCCGGGAACTTCTACAAAGTTCCGGGAACTTCTACAAAGTTCCGGGAACTTCTACAAAGTTCCGGGAACTTCTACAAAGTTCCGGGAACTTCTACAAAGTTCCGGGAACTTCTACAAAGTTCCGGGAACTTCTACAAAGTTCCGGGAACTTCTACAAAGTTCCGGGAACTTCTACAAAGTTCCGGGAACTTCTACAAAGTTCCGGGAACTTCTACAAAGTTCCGGGAACTTCTGCAAAGTTCCGGGAACTTCTGCAAAGTTCCGGGAACGTCTACAAAGTTCCGGGAACTTCTACAAAGTTCCGGGAACTTCTACAAAGTTCCGGGAACTTCTACAAAGTTCCGGGAACTTCTACAAAGTTCCGGGAACTTCTACAAAGTTCCGGGAACTTCTACAAAGTTCCGGGAACTTCTACAAAGTTCCGGGAACTTCTACAAAGTTCCGGGAACTTCTACAAAGTTCCGGGAACTTCTACAAAGTTCCGGGAACTTCTACAAAGTTCCGGGAACTTCTACAAAGTTCCGGGAACTTCTACAAAGTTCCGGGAACTTCTACAAAGTTCCGGGAACTTCTACAAAGTTCCGGGAACTTCTACAAAGTTCCGGGAACTTCTACAAAGTTCCGGGAACTTCTACAAAGTTCCGGGAACTTCTACAAAGTTCCGGGAACTTCTAAAAAGTTCCGGGAACTTCTACAAAGTTCCGGGAACTTCAATTGGCTGCACTTCAATAAAGTTAAAGATCTTTGAACTTTTTCGAAGTTACCTGAAAATCTGTGAAGATCTACAAAGTTCCTTGAAGTTCTTTAGAGCAGTTCCAGACCAAATAGAGCCCTTCCACGCAAAAAAAGCGAAAACAAAAATTGGATTTTTGAAGCGACCTTCTCCGATTTGTATGAGACTTTGCGTAATTGTTTGTTGCGGGCAATGATTCACTTTTTTTTTCTAAAATTCGGTCATTTTGGATCTAGTAAAATTTTCTAAATGGCGAACCGAATTCGTTAGTGGTGGCCCAACCAGCAAATTTCGACTGTACTACTAAGTTCCCTGAAGTCAAATGATGTTTCTTTAACTATTTCGCTGCTCTTGCCTTCCAAGTAGGGCGTTGATGACGCTAATGACTCAGTTTAATAAATCTGAAATATTGAACAGCCTTACCCGCTCGCAAATTTGTAAAAGTAGCGCTGAAGACATGTGAAGACATGTTGGAGATTTTTTCGAAATACACCTGACATCTCTGACCAGCACAGCTGACGTGTTGACAGAACCAAGATGCTTCCTACAGGGAAAATAAAAACTACCCTAAATTTGAATTCTTTTAACTTAATTTAGGGTTGAGCCCAAGAGGTAAGTCACTGAGCACATTGTGCCGAAATTACATTCGGCACAGCTTGGGCACATCCATCGGCACACCTTTGGCATACCTTCGACATACCTTGGGCACAATCTCGTAGGCATTGGATTGTTGTAAATATTGGAGCACTGCTGGACAACTGTCATTGAAGTTGTTCACAGCATTACGTGCTGTTTGACTGTATATTCAGGAACATCCTCTAATTGAATATGCCAGAGAAACTCAGACCAGCAGTTCACTTATAGATCTAAATACGAAACGTAGGTTCTAGAGTGGGCTCAAGAGAAAGAGGCAGTTCATCAGACCCCATTAGTACCCTTAATTCACTAAAATTTCGCACACCCGCCACTTCCCGCGTCATCCTAAATCCGATTTATTCTTGCGATTTCAAGCCAAAATATTCATGGTGTCAGAAATACCGGGTTGCCGGGATGGGTATTTAACAAACAATTGCAGCTTGCTCTATGACCGGCACAACTGCGGCACACTGACAATAAAGA